CGGAAAAAAATATTTTTTTTTGGGGGGGGGGGGGGTAATGAGATTATTATTATCTTGTATATTAGGAAAGGAATGTTCCATTGCATTGATATGGTGTGAACAGGGCAGGGCACGTAAAGAACAAATGTTTTCCATGTGTCCTGTACGTTGAGCCTGCTTTGATCAATGCAGCTCAATGGACATGATGTGAATGAGCCCTAAATCTCATTGGCTCTCAGCTAAAAACTTTTTATTCTAGTTCTTCCCTTGTATTTGCTTTCTTGTATGTACCTATTGGGACACATTTATATGCTGCTTAATAAATGTAAAGGGTATTTCTTCTAAGCTGGAGAAACCTCCCCTGTATGTGCTCCGCTTCACACAACACAGCTAAAACTAATTAACAAAATGATGATAAGCCTACAATAGCCATCTGTTCTAATGCTGCATGTTGATAAATCATGATCTCACCCAAGCTCTGAGGCTTCTATGTTCTAGGACCTCTAAACCTTCCTTTTAGGGTCGGCATGAGAGCCTACAGCAGGGGGTAGGCAACCTCGGCACGCCAGCTGCTGTGGAACTACAAGTCCTGTGAGGCATTGCTAGACTCTTTAACAGCCACAGATATTGCTCACAGAGGCATGATGGGGATTTGTAGTTTCAACCACATCCTGGAGTACTGAGGTTGCCCACCATGGCTGACATACAGAGGCATATGGGATTGATATGCCTGACCATTACAAATACAAGTTCTTTGGCTATCCCTGCCCCTTTGAAGTCTTCACTTTCTTTTTTCATGGCTTTACATTCTGACCACATGGAACAAGCATGTGGCACGTGAAGTGAGTGTGAAGTGGGTACTCCTGATCTACATGCTTGTTTCAGGTCAGTGATGTAAGCATTGAAGCAAGAGGATCAGCATGACAGCCAGGCAACTTGCTTCTTCAGAAGAGGTTGGCAATGGCAGCCTAAGTATGTTACCTCGCTGCACATGCACAGGGCAAAATGTCAGCAGATAATCATATCAGACCTGCGGTGCTCATTATCAGCATGTGTATGGAGGCTAGGTTAGTACCCCAACCTACCCTGCTGCTACACTGGCTTACTTCCCCAACCTACCCTCGCTGCTATGCTGGCCTAGTACCCCAACCTACCCTCGCTGCTATGCTGGCCTAGTACCCCAACCTACCCTCGCTGCTATGCTGGCCTAGTACCCCAACCTACCCTCGCTGCTATGCTGGCCTAGTACCCCAACCTACCCTCGCTGCTATCCTGGGTTCCCCAACCTACCTTCGCTGCTATGCTGGCTTCCCCAACCTACCCTCGCTGGTATACTTCCCCCAACCTACCCTCGCTGCTACGCTGGCTTACTTCCCCAACCTACCCTCGCTGCTACGCTGGCTTACTTCCCCCCAACCTACCTCACTGCTACGCTGGCCTACAAGTTGTAAACCTACCCTCGCTGCTATGCTGGCTGCTACGCTGGCTTACTTCCCCAACCTACCCTCGCTGCTACGCTGGCTTACTTCACCAACCTACCCTCGCTGCTACGCTGGCTTACTTCACCAACCTACCCTCGCTGCTATGCTGGCTTACTTTACGATCTTATACCGCTGATACACAGGCCAACTACCCCAACCTACCTCACTGCTACGCTGGCCTACAAGTTGTAAATCTGACCTTTTCTTTGAACTCTTTGTTTAGACCGGCAGTGATAGACCGGTGATCGATCAAAACTACGAACTTATCGAGTTGTGGGACCGCATTACTTCCGGTTTCCTCAGAACTACGAGGTTTTTACACAAAACATGTTGTGCACGAGCGCCATCCACGGCATTGCCCTATAGACATAGACCACAGCAATAAAGTAATAAAATGATGTAGGATGACAGTAAGCCAGCGCGTTCTTTATCTCAGGTGCCCCACTCAAGCGGCGGCCATATTGAGTGGGGCACCGGAGATAAAGAACGTGCTGGCTTACTGTCATCCTACATCATTTTATTACTTTATTGCTGTGGTCTATGTCTATAGGGCAATGCCGTGGATGGCGCTCGTGCACAACATGTTTTGTGTAAAAACCTCGTAGTTCTGAGGAAACCGGAAGTAATGCGGTCCCACAACTCGATAAGTTCGCACTTTCGAGACATCACCGGCAGTGATAGACCGGCAGTGATAGACTGTAACAATGTGTAGTCCTCCTGTAGCTCTGTCTTGGTACATCAATACTAGTAGCAGTGCTAGCAAGGCAATAACTTTCTGTGTAAGAACCGACCTTCAGAGACATTGCTGAATAAAACACACAGCTCTGCGCTCCTTTTTTGAAATGCACATTTTGGCTGTCACAGTACCTCCATTGCCATTAAACCCTTCTCTGCCAAGGTTATAAATCACCTTCTGTTACACCATTTTATCTTTGTAGAAGGAAGTAATGGTATCTCCCTCGTTCCTGTTCTGCAGTTGTGAGTAAACGGCCCTAACCACATGCAAAGTGAAGTCCCAGTCAAACTTTAACCTGCATGTTTTGTCAGGAAATGGTTACTGGTAACATTCACAGATGTTTACAATATGTAAACTTTTGAGAAGCTGAGAGCAATTTTTAAAAAAACCGAGATTCAGTAGTGAAGTTATTGGTTTATTTTTTTTTAACTGATAATTTTACTTATTTTTTCCTTCCCTGTATATGTCAAATCTTGTTTTACAACAGTGCCATAAAACAGTGGTGAGGGGGGTTTGAGTCGCTTATCTAACTCTTCAGCTGTCTGCTTAATCTGAGCTCCACTTTGTCAGCACTTGAACCTATATTTGTCTTTACCTGCTTAAAAAGAAATGTAGTCACATGGTATAAAATTTGGTTTGGGTTCATGGCTGAAGGTTTTTACTACTAGCTTGTATATTCCAACACCCCGCCCCCCACCCATGACTTAAGGGAATTGTCTTCATGCTGTAAAAGCGTGCATGACACAGTACAAAGTGCACAAGACGCATCAGTATCACATGCTGGACTATGCCTCTCACTTCCTCACAAGCATGTGACCAGGCGACTGGCAGTTTATTGGATCATCGTGAACGGTGTATGGACGGCAATAAAATGAATTCATAGATCCTTTGGGGTGTTTGTGTTCTTTTTGGGTTGTTCGAAATATACAAAGGATGAAGGGTGGAAGGATGTAGACACTGCCTAAAATGTATCTGAACCCAAGAGCAAAAATTTAATTTATTAATATAAATCCATAATAATCAGGATTTGTATAGCGCCTACAGTTTACTTGGCACTTTACAATAAAAGGAAGACATTGGTCACAATACAAATCAAGACAAGATGGTAAGGAGGGTCCTGCTCATGAGAGCTTGCAATCTATTGTAGTTTTACCAGTCCTTAGATTATTATTATACAAGATTTATATAGCGCCAACAGTTTGCAGCGCTTTACAATATAAGGAAGACATCACAAGACAAGATGGTGAGGAGGGCCCTGCCCCTGAGAGCTTACAATCTAAAAGGGAGGGGGAAGTGATACATGAGGGAGCTGTGTGGGGATGAATTGTTTAGAACGTGAAGGTTAGGTTGAGGTGGGATAGGCTTCCCTGAAGAGAAGTCTTTAGGGAACGCCTAAAGGCCGTCGAGGTGGGAGATAGACGGACAGGTTGGGGTAAAGAGTTCCAGAGGATGGGTGAGAGACTCTAGGGAAGTCCTGGAGGCGAGTATGGGAGCAGTTGACAAGGGAGCTGGAAAGCAGGAGGTCTTGGGATGAGTGGATGGTTAGGGTGATATTTTGGGACAAGGTTTGAGATGTATCCGGGGGCAGAGTTGTGGATGACTTTATAAGTGATTGTTAATATTTTATGTGGTGGCTGCATTTTTTTTTTTTTCCCCCTTACCCCCCCCCTTTTGTTTCTTGGTAATCCCGCCAGTATCCCATTTCCTGTCCCTGGCTGACCATGCTCAGATAGCAAAAATGCTGCAGGAGCGTGTCATTCAGCGGGTGGGCAAACTCCAGCTGTGGTGACACTACAAATCCCATGCATCTGTCTCTGGTAGGCTGTGGCTGTGAGACTGTTGCAATGCCTCATGGGACTTGTAGTTTTACCACAGCTGGAGGGCTGGGGTTTGCCCACACCTGATGTAATTGCTCATGCTATCAAAGCCATAATTTTTGTTCTCTTAAAGATGTAAAAATTATAGTTCGAGAGAAAGTGGAGACAACCGGAACCAAAAAAACCCTTGGGAGGAAGCAATGACATAAATACATATTTAGTTCAGACCGTGTTGTAATAGTGTTTTGGGGGGTTTTTTCAAATTTTTTTTTTTATAGACTTATTTTGTATTGGAGTGCCATGAACTTGCGGAAACCGCAAAAGAGTCGTGTGTTCTTCTTGAATCCTTGATGAGCTTTGTGTATTTCTTCCAGATCTGTGCAGTAATCCAGTGTGACACTTTGGAGCTTCATGTAATATACCGCTCACTGCTCTCTCTCCTTGTGCAGGGTGACTGGTCTTGTCCCCACCCCTCCTGTAGATTTCTGGCCCCTCCCACAGCTCTGCTCAGGCTATGCGCAGAGCAGTAATGATATCACTGCTAGTAGATGGACAGATTAATATCTGGGTTTGTAAAGTCATTGGGTGCACACAAAGTGGCTACAATGGCTATGAATATATTTTAAAGGAATATATTTTAAATGAGATGTGATGTCTGGAGTTCACCTTAACATGATCTGAGTCACTTCCAACAAAACGCTTAAGTACTGTCCATGATCGTTTTTCTGATCATTTTCAGGACAAGCTTTTGGAAGTCCTATCTTTTAGAATCGTGTCCTGAAAATGTGACCGTTAGTGCAAATAAAGTATCATAGACCGTATTAAACTATGCTGCATCAGTGTCCCACAGTCCCTAATGTAAAGCAGTCATGGATTTGACATCCTGCACTGATGGGAGCTAATAAGCTAGAAACTTCTGCTTGCAGCTTGGTAAATGGCTCCAAATTTAGGTGGTTATCTATGACAACATGGTCCGAGTGGCAGTTCCGTCCAGACTGCGGTCACCAATCTGCACTGGGTTATGACTGCCTGACAGTGGTTACACCAGCCTCCTGAGTGCATCATCATCCCCCCCGGTCCTCTAAAGTCATTGGCTTCTAGGACTGCTTGCGTCCTAGCAACCAATGACAGCAGGCAGGGCCAGATTCTCAACTAACAGTGATCTGTGTGGTGTACGCCTTCCCAGAGCACTTGTACTAGCCTGTTATTGTGCACCTCCCCTCCCACCCCATTTTTTTTTTCTTTGGGGGGGGGGGGGTGCAGGACCACAGCAAACAGTCAAGATGGAAAGCGGGAGCTGACCAAGGAACATCCATTCCCCATCAGCTCTGTGCTGAATGAAGCAGGGAGCGCTGTGCTCTCAGACCCCCAGATGTCTCCATTAAGAGACCTTGTCGCCTCCAAATGCTATCACATAGGGGCTTGTTATCCCCTTTGTGATAGCAAAATTTAAGTGGGGGAAATTTTTTTTTGATAAATTGAAATCACACTGCCACCCCCGCCATCTGATTCAAATGAATAAATGCCGGTAAGGCATGCATGTGTATGTATTCAAAGGAGGGGGACTCTTTTAAAAAAAAAAACAAAAAAAAACAGTGGGAGTCAGCACTGTTCCTTGCAGTGTGAATGCTAAAATGTTTACTCATCAGACCTCCTTGAATTTTAATTCAGTACCCCTGCTATAAACCCTCAGAACTGGATCAGCCTATCTCTGTAACCCTCACAAAGGAGGAAGGGGCTGTGTATGAGTGATTTATTAGATGCTTTTCACTACCTCAAAAAAACAAAACAAAATGTTCTGTTCATGTTACAGCGGAGATCATTTTCTGTGCAAGTTAACCCTTCACCTTCCCGATGAGCCTCTCTTGTGCTGGTGTTGCAGTTCTTTAGGTCAAGAAGGGTGTAGATGTTGGTGGCAGTGTATATCCTTTAAAGGCAAAGTTCAAGGTTAAAAAAAAAAAAAGTAAGGCTTTGTTTACACCAAGCACATTCCAGGAGCAGAGCAGTTACAGAACGGATCAAAACTGCGTCCAATGTATTCCAATGGTATTTTGGGCTCTAGTTCACACTACAGCATTCAGTTCCAGAGCAAAAAAACTGCAGCAAGCCCTATTTTACCTGCTCTGGAATGCATGCAAACGCACAAAGCCCATTTTTTAAAACCAAAAACGAAAGCATCAAACGCGGTGTAACACACTGCACTGTTTGTGCAGAAACTCATGCAGATCTGGTATGCATTTGGTGTGAACAAGCCCTAAATGCGCGCACATTCGTGAAGAAAAAGTGCATTTTAGTTTTTTGTATTGCAATCAGTGAATCACGGAGACATTTCAATAGGCTCCTGCAAGACTGTTTCTCCAGGTCAGTACGGAGGTATGGACCTTCATTTGTTGGAGGAAGTAATCAATGGACTACAATTAAAATGACATCACTACAACTAGTGGCAGGCAAAAGTACTGCGGGGGAAATCCCTGGATTGAAGGTAAGTATTGCAGCAAGATCCATCTTCTGGCCAGAGTTCTGCTTTGTGTTATCCATTTAGTTTGTCTACTTTAATGTTTTCTCTTGTGTCTTGCAGGCGGCTGCAGCTGCACTGGCATATGTCGGGATTAATGCTATTGTTACCTACAAGCAGTATGAGAATGTGGTTGGGAACATGTATGTGATGCTTCCAGCCGTGATCATTCTATGTGTAGCGGTGTTCATGCTCATTATCGGATGCCTTGGCTTCTGCTCCACCATTCAGGAATCCTGCTGCGGACTGGGATGTGTAAGTACTTGGCTTTCCCTTACCAGCCTAAATTTTATCTTTCTTCCTACTGGCATCTAAAGAACACATTTCTGGGATTAGTTGCATAAATGCTGATCTGTGTCGGCCTCAGATTTTAAAAACGCAGCGGGGAGACTTGTAGCTTCAAGTCACTTCCTTTCTAGTGAGTGTCACGCATATACCAGGGCATTAATATCCATACATGTAGCACAGACACAAATCACCATGGAAAGTGTCAAGGCAGATGTTGATTGCCCAAGGATGGGAGATGTGAAGTTGTGGAACCACCCCTGTTCTAGTTCCATAAGCCCATCCTTGGTGTGCAGAAGTTTGCATGGATGTTAATCCTTCAATTTACATGGCTGTCAGTAGTAATTGTCAAATCAACAGGGAAGAGATGTTTAAACAACATTATAGACGAAAGATAGTGTTGAAGGCCCTCACACCTATTCAGTGATGATTCCATTTTGGTATAGATGGCCTCTTGAAATGGCATTGTATGTAGAAGACGGATAGTGTTGAAGGACCCCCCTACCCCTGTTCATTGATGGTTGTTCAGTTTCATGTAGATGGCCTCTAGCCTCTTGAGAACCAGTTGTCCTCTGTCCAGAAGGTTCAGCTCCCTGTCCTCGAAAGACTGTCCCTTTTTCTTGTGTAGGAAACTGCAAAGTCCGCCAAGTCTTGGCTTGTAGAATGTATAGGCCATGTGTTTATTGAGAAGTAGTTTGTCTCCCCAATGTCTTGGTCTTTGCATTCCGTAGCCAAGTGTTTTTGATTCTTGAGTCATTTGGCTGTGGAAGCTTCTGCCTCTGTGTATTGGTGGGTTTGAAGGACACGATAATGCATTGTTTGGTAAAACTCTTTCCCAGCTACATAAATGACTATATTACTGTGTTCTATTCTCTCCTCTCTTCAGTGGTCCTGTGTTTTGGATTGATCTTATGCATTTTTTTTAATGATAGCCCAATCTTTGTAGTCACAAGCTTTAAAGCCTGCCTGTTGGTGTCTGTGGACCTGTTTGGTAAACAGGTTTGTTAAGTTTAAAATAGGGCAATATTATTATTCAGTCCTGTAATTAATGACAATCTTTATTTAAATCTACAGTTCATCACCCTGATATCCATCATATTAGTGGCTGGAGTGGCTTCTCTTGTGTTGGGACTCGTATACAAAGATAAGGTGAGGAATTAAACAAAAGGTTATGTCCAAATTCATAAACTGAGTCCTTATGACGGTTTCATCTCGGACATCTGAGATTGAGTAATCCTGACATTTCAAAACGTTTGTGCTAAAATGTTCCACTTTGCTGCCAGCCCCATGACCCAATGACACTGGCGCTGAATCACGTTGGAACAATTTGATGTCAAAACTGCGTGTGTATGACTCATTGGAGAGCGTCCCCTTTCTTTCCTATCTCTCAGACTTCATTGTCACTAGGACAGAGATTGAGAGTGGATCTCCATAATGCTGGCAGATCCTTCCTTTCCTTTTTCTTTCCTGCAGAACTAGAAAGGGGGGAGGTTTTACCTGGAGTTGGCTTTTTAAATCGTCGCCTCTTCAAGAGGCCCCCATACTCCAATATTAACAGAAAGCTGATACTTGCACCTACTGGCTAAAATACTGCTCCGGGCCCCTCCCTGTGCTGGTCAACTCTGAAGGTGTAAGTTGTACAATCTCGGCTAAAGGAACACTAAATCTTCTCTTCGGCAGAGATCCCATGACCGAGAGACGGGGCCTTCAGACATGTGGGCCCAACTCGAGGTAGCCCGGAGCAGCCTCTGTGTGGTTCAAACTCTAATTAGTGAAAGCCTCCATCTTGGAGCATATATAGCAAAGGGTGCAGGTTCACCAGGAGGCAGCCCATTCCACCTTAAAGGCGTTCCTCAATTGGGACACTGACCTTGGTAAACCTGGAAATGTATAAATGTATAGTTTTTTTTTTTTTTTTTTTTTTTTACAACATGGGTTTCTTACTTTGCCTAGTGTAATTGTGCCCCCAGCTCTTACAGGGCCCACTTTTTGGGGAAAGTTGACCTGCAGCGCCACCTGCTGCTGAATCTGATATTGCAGTATGCCCAAATGGGCATATTGTATTGCATTAAATTTACAACACATTACGATCATTGATTCTTCACCAGATAGTGTTTGGTGAAATCACATTCACTACTTTATAACTAGACCCCTTACAGTCAGTCGTTACAATTGAATAGACTTCTGTCCATAATGATAGAAAAGAAGCAAGAGGATTGTAGAGGTGGCGAACCTGTGCTAGTAAACTGATGTGTATGTAATCTGGAGGCTGAAATGCTATTTTTCTGTCTCTAATGCTTTCAGACACAGACCCAGAACAAGCAAGCAGATCAGGAAAGTCTGTCAGACTTTTTTTCATGTCAATGACTCAAAGAATCGAAGACACTAGATCAGAAGGGTGGCCAAAAAATTAGCATTTTCAGAAGGAAATATTGGCAACGATGCCCTGTACTTCTTGCGGAAAGGTTTCCTTAAAGTGTATGCCGAATCGGAAGCATTAAACAAGGGTTCTAATTCTTCCTCACTCTATCTACCTATAAAAAGGATACTGGTGGTTATGGCCAGCGTGGAACTCCAGAGTGAACTTTTCAAACCTGGAGTCTCATGAAGACCTTAGATTTGTGTTTCTTATTTATACAGAGCACAAGTGATGGAAATCTTACATGTGTCCTCAGCGGCTCACTGATCTGACATTTTCTTTTACTCCTAGATTAATCCAGAGCTGGAGAAAAACATGGACATCTTATTTAAGAGTTACGATGGAAAAAATATAGACAGTTCAGGAGTGGACTTCATCCAGGAGGAGGTATTTCACAATCCTTGTACTTGATTTCTTTTTTTTTTTTTTTTCTTTTTTATATGCCATCTGACATCTGCAGGAAGTAGAAGCCTCCTTAGCTAGTGGCTTGAAGTTCCTTCCCTGGGCAGTGAGGCAGAAGTGCAGGATTTTGTGCTTTTAGTATTTAAGTACCAGCCACAAGGGCAGCAGCGGGGGTGAGGAACAGGGTGTGCTACTTATGTAACCAACATGGGGCAACTGTTCTTTTGTCCAAATGTTGACTGATTGCCTGGATTGGTTAATGATGCTAAAAGGTGTATGGGAACATTTTAAAGGACAAGTGTACTTTAACACAAAGTGCACTTATCCTTTTTTTGCTCTGACCTAACCCACCCTATCCTTCCTCTGATGCATACTTCGATCCGATGGTTGTGAAGTCTGGGGATTGTTCTGTCCTGCTCGGCGAGTTTCTCTGCCCTGGCTTTGCCTTTGCATTACAGCCCCATACACTTCTATGGGGCCATTGCCCTTCATCTTTGGCCTTGGTACACAACTCCATAGATGTCTGAGGCTGTAATGGGCAGGTGCTGCTGTGATGCAAACAATCATTGGAGGACACCGCCATCAGAGTAAGGCAAGTATGCATCTGTGGAGTAAGGTTTGGGTTAGCAAAAAGAAGAAATGCACTTTGTCTTAAAGTAGGGATGCACAGATACCGATACATTATGCAGCAATTCCGAATGGCAACTGGCTATAGAGGACTACAAATCCCAGCAATACATTATACAGCAATGCAGAATAATACTATTCTGCTTTGATATATAATGCATTGTCTGGATAGGTAGTCCTCTATAGCCGGTTTGCCATTCAGCATTGCTGTATAATGTATTTCTGGGATTTTTAGTCCACCCATAGCTGGTGGTAATCTGCGTTGTATAATGTATCGCTGGGATTTGTAGTCCTCTATAGCCAGTTGCCATCGCTGTATAATGTATTGCATAGATTTGTAGTCCTCTATAGCTGGTTGTATTCTGCATTGCTGTATAATGTATTGCTGAGATTTGTAGTCCCTCTACTGCTTGGAGGCCGTGACAGAACTACCAGGGTTGCAGCTGCAACTGGGCGCTGATGCTCCACCCTTGTCCTGAAATCATTAGCCTGTATTTTTTTTTTTTTTTTTAGAAGAACTGTTGCATGACACTAAAACGGTACTTGGTATCAGCGAGTGGTTGAGGAAAAGTATCGGTACTCGTACCCAGCCTGGAAAAATGGTATCGGTGCATACCTATCTTAAAGTGTGCTCATTCTTTCAAAGCTAGTTTAGGGTTGAAGGAGTAATGTGAAAATTCTTTCAAATTAG